CAAGAAAGTCCAAAACAAAAGATCAGTTTCTCTAACTCTGGTTTTCAGTGCTCTGCCACCTTATTTGAAAATGTCTCTTATCAGAAAAGTAGACCTCAAGATAATGGAGGTCAGCTAACGCTTTATCTCTCCAAATTATCAGATTGGAAACTTTGATCAGCCTTTCCAATGCAGTCAGTCTGGATACAAAAAAGACATCAAATTAAGCAGGAGGAAAACAAAGGAAAGATCCATAATGTAGTATCCTCAATAACTATTTATTGTTAAGGCAAAAGGGTAATCCCAAGTATACATAAGACACAAGCATAAATTCAACAATCCAATGACGTCACCTCAAAAGCTCAGTCCTACATGTTTCGTCTACACAGACGTCTTTAAGGTGCTAGCAACAGACTGTAAAGAGGCTGTTGGACATCAGCAGTATTAAGATGTAACAAAGGATGAAAAAAAATGAAAACCCTTTTCTTTCCTTTATTCCCAAATTCTTTAAAATGCACAGCATTTTGCTACTTACCGGACACGCAGAAAGGATTTACATTTACTTTAAGAGACCTGCCAGTGTCTACAAGCCCTACATTAATCTTTCCCTAAGCACTTTATCTACACCACTCCCTATGCTTTCCCTGTCACAGCTGAAGCACCCTGTAAATATGACTGCTGGGAATACACCCATTTATAGTGAGGGATCTGGCTTATTTAAAAGAGCAGAGCTAGGGACCAATTTAGCCACAGGTGAGTTTGGACACATTTAACTTGTCTGACTACCTACCCCTACATTTGGCAAGGGCTGTCTGACAGTACCACAGACATGAGATGGACACTCAATATGGCAGTTTTTGATTGGATAATTGGGCACTCACTTGGTGTCTCACTGTTTCTTAGAGGGCACAGTAGACTCACAGACAAGCACAGTCAATGACCGAGTTGCCTGTTTTCTGTCCAGTTTTTTGGTGCAGCCTTTTTTAACTTGGTATTGCATTCTAGTATAGAGGTGCACATCTCTTGAGTTGGGAGCTCAAACTGGGTTTCACATTTAGCCACCTAGGTTTCTTTGATGACCAAATATGGCTTCCATTCTAAAGAGTTATAATGTGAGCCATATCATTTTATAGGCATAGAAACAAAGGCACACTGTGTTCTGAGTTTTTTAGAGATGGCCATTTTGACATCTGAGGCCCTATCAGAAGGAAAGGTGAAGACCTCTGCATTCCTGTCCGGGTTACTAGAGTCCTAAGAGAGGGTCAGTATGTATATGATCACCCATAAAATGGTAAACATTATAGCCAGTTTGGGATCATGACCTTTCCCTTGGCACCTCTTATCTGAGTCCACATGCCAGTTATGACCTCTTAGTATCTCATTGCACCAGGTTCACCATTCACCTTCTGGTCAGGCTGCAAAGTCAACAGTCCAGGCTGACCCTGACAGGAGCAAGGACTTGAACTCTGTCCCCTGCCTAACCAACACACCTTAGGCCGTCTGGACTTTGACCATATGGGACAGTGAGTTGTCTGATACAGGAAGGCCATGGCCCTTGTCGTATGCTCAGAACAAGAGGTCAAAGTCTGATGTCCAGGTGGTGCAGCAAGTCAGATGGACCAGCAGATATTAACATCCAGACTTCCCTGCCTTTTCTACCAGAGAGCAGTTGGTGATAGATTTGAAATCAAAGCCCTTGTTTCATTGACAGACTAAGCACCTATATTTGTCTAAACACGTCAAGTTCTTAAGTCTAAACTCTGGCACTGTGGAGAAGTCACATTTCACTGTCACCAGTTAGATGTCTTGATCGTTTTCTGTAATGATGCTGTTTCCATCATATCTGTTAGATTAAACATTTTAGATCAAGGAAACCTTTAGGAAAGGGTTGTTTCAAATGACAATATACATTTAAAATATTTTCACAAACAAATGTAGTAATAAATAATCCTCATCAGTATGCCTATTGCTGTTGGATTTTGATATTCATTTTTCTTTAACCGCTTCCCGACCGCCCTATAGCAGAACTACTGCTACAGGGCGACAGGGCTGCTCAAAATCATGTGTATATATACGTGATTTTGTATTTCTGGCCATTGGCGGCTACAGCTGTCAATCACAGTGTCCCAGTCGGAGTTTCACTGCCGGCACCAGGCAATTGTCGAGTATTCCTGTTGGGGGAGAGGTCTGTATGTAAACAATACAGATCTCTCTTCTGTCAACTCCAGCACACTGCTTTGTATGGCTCTGCATAGTAAAAAAACACACACAGCACACAGTAAAACAGCTCACAGTTAACCTTTTGATCATCCCAGATGTTAACCCCTTTCTGCCCAGTGTCATTAGTACAGTGTTAGTGCTTTTTATTAGCACTGATCACTGTATTAGTGTCATTGGGGATGTTAGTGACAGTTAGTCAGTTCCCCCCCCCCAGTGTCAGAATGCCCACCGCAGTCCCTCTATAAGTCGCTGATCGTCTCCATTACTACTATAAAAAAAAAATTCCAGTATCTATGCCGCTATTTGTAGACTATATAACTTTAACGTAAACCAATTAATTTACTGGGATTTTTTTCTTAAAAGACGTAGCAGAATACATTTTGGCCTAAATTCACAACGAAATTAGATTTTTTTACATTTTTTACTGGATATGTTTATAGCAAAAAGTCAAAAATATTGTTTTTTTTTCTAAAGTGTTGGTCTTTTTTTGTTTATAGGCTATAGCACAAAAAATAAAAACCGCTGAGGTGATGAACTACCACCAAAAGAAAGCTCTATTTGTGGGAAAAGGACATAAATTTCATTTGGGTGCAGCATTGCATGACCGCGCAATTGTCAGTTAAAGTAACGTAGCGCCCTGGTCAGGAATCCATCAATGGATTTAATTCTTCTGATCTGTAAGCCATGTGGCTACATTTCTCTGTTTATCTTTTATTTTTTTAAGCACATGTGTTTTATTCATTATAACTGTGTGCATACATCTGACATTGAATGCACCAATGCATTATGGGATATAAAAAGGAGCTAAATATAATGCACAAGCTTTCTGTCTCAATCCCTGTATACTATTATTGTGTGTGAGAGAAAATGCCCAATGACCTCAGCTCACAGTGCTCTCTGTGCAAATAGATTGTCTGATTTTCAGTGCAGGACATGTTGCAGCAAAGGTCCCATAGAACTTTAGGGGCCTGGGAGTGACCGTTCTTAAACTACAGTGATGCTGCTCACTTGCAATAAACTAATAAGCCTAATATTTGCTTGATTTATAAAATGGTTGGTGTGTATAATTAATACAATTTAAAAGGTAACACAATTAAACAGCATCATCCTGTTTTTATGTATCCTTCACATAAACCAGCAATTACACACTACATTTGCACACCGACAGTGACTTCTTACCTGTTTGGCCAGTGCAATACTAAAGCCCCGCTCAAAGAGATATCGAAGGCTCGGATTAAAAAGAAATATACAGTATATTTATTAAACATGCCATAATTACCTGCTCTGTGCAGTGGTTTTGCTCAGAGCAGCTCTGATCCCCTTCTACTCTGGTCCTCTGCTGGAGCTTCCTGGCTCCTCCCCCTTGAACAGTGTCACCATTAGCAAGCCACTTGCTATAGGTGCACTGGTGTGTGCTCGCTCCTGAGCCTGCTCTATGTGTCCATAGTACTCATAGAGCCGAGGTTTGGCCCCGCCCCCTGCTCTCTCCTTATTGGTCACTGCCTGTGATTGACAGCAGTGGGAGAGGGAGTCCCGGAACAGCGAGGCTCTCGTGCAAATTGCTGGATCAAGAGGGTGCTCAGGTAAATATTAGGGTGGTCTGGGGGGAAGGAGTTGCTTCCAGAAGGTTTTTTTTACCTTCATGCATAGTATGCATGAAAGTAAAAAACCTTCTACCTTTACAACCACTTTAAGTAGATTAATGACCGTCAGTACTGGGACTTCTTCAGCTCAATTTTTGTATTATTTAGTGCCGTTTCACATATATGTGAATTGGATGCGGTTTCAACTGCATCCAATCCGCATGACATGTGAAATAACATTTATAAGGTAAAATATACAGTAAGCGCTCGTCAATGGTGATAGCAGCTGAACATAAAGGAAAACTCATATAAAGTCCCACAATTCATGTATATGTGCATTTTTATATACATGTGAAATAACATTGCTTCCTATGGTGCATTTTCACATATACTATATTGCCAAATGTATTGGGACGCCTGCCTTTGCACGCACATGAACTTTAATGGCATCCCAGTATTAATCTGTAGGGTTCAATTTTGATTTGGCCCCGCCCTTTGCAGCTATAACAGCTTCAACTCTTCTGGGAAGGCTGTCCACAAGGTTTAGGAGTGTGTCCTGGTTCTAAGTCTCCGCTCTAATTCATTCCAAAGGTGTTCTATCGGGTTGAGGTCAGGACTTCGTGCAGGCCAGCCAAGTTCCTCCACCCCAAACTCACTCATCCATGTCTTTATGGACCTTGCTTTGTGCACTGGTACGCAGTCCTGTTGGAACAGGAAGGGGCCATCCCAAAACTGTTCCCACAAAGTTGGGAGCATGAAATTGTCCAAAATGTCTTGGTATGCTGACGCCTTAAGAATTCCCTTCACTGGAACTAAGGGACCAAGCCCAACCCCTGAAAAACAACCCCACACCATAATCCCCCCTCCACCAAACTTTACACTTGGCACAATGCAGTCAGGCAAGTACTGTTCTCCTGGCAATGGCCAAACCCAGACACATCCATTGGATTGCCAGACAGAGAAGTGTGATTCATCACTCCAGAGAACAAGTCTCCACTGCTCTAGAGTCCAGTGGCAGCGTGCTTTACACCACTGCATCTGACACTTTGCATTACACTTGGTGATGTAAGGCTTGGATGCAGCTGCTTGGCCATGGAAGCCCATTCCATGAAGCTCTCTATGCACTGTTGTTGTACTAATCTGAAGGCCACATGAAGTTTGGAGGTCTTAAGCTATTGACTGCAGATTTGGCGACTTCTGCGCACTTCAGCATGTGCTTGCAGATTTGGCGACTTCTGCGCACTTCAGCATGTGCTGACGCCGCTCAGTCATTTTACGTGGCCTACCACTTCGTGGATGAGTTGCTGTTGTTCCCAGTTGCTTTCACTTTGTTATAATACCACTAACAGTTGACCGTGGAATATTTAGTAGCAAGGAAATTTCACAGATGGACTTATCTCACAGGTGACAACCTATCACAGTACCACGCTTGAATTCACTGAGCTCCTGAGAGCGACCCATTCTTTCACAAATGTTTGTAAAAGCAGTCTGCATGCCTAAGTGCTTGATTATACACTTGTGGCCATGGAGGTGATTGGAACACCTGAATTCAATGATTTGGAGGGTTGGCCCAATACGTTTGGCAATATAGTGTATGTCCAGTGCACTGGCAGTGCAGATAAAAAAGTCATGTCCGATTACAGGCTATTGACTTCTATGAGAACCGTTTCTAAACTGAACATGTCATGAGTTGTGAACAGGATAAAATCCTGACCTGAACCTGAACTAAACCTGTCCTGAGCAGCTGAACAACTACTGTATCAATTAGCTGTGAAACCTGAGCTTCAATCCGCACTGCACATACAGTATGTGAATCAGCACTTACTTGTATTCTCTTCCTGTCAGAGCAGGAATGCCAGATTGAGTGTCAGGCTGTGTGGCCATCCTGTTTTCTGCCCGAGCTGAGCAGTAATAACAAATGCTCAAAAAAAGGTGTCATTATACAAAAGTCCAATTTTCAGCTTTCAGTACCGTCGCACTTTGAATAACAATAGCACAGTCATGCAACACTGTACCCAAATGAAATTTTTATCTTTTTTTTTTCACATAAATAGAGCTTTCTTTTGGTGGTATTTAATTACTCCTTTTTTTTTTTACTTTTTGCTAAATAGATTTAAAAAAAAACAAACACATTTCAAAAAAAAAAAATTCACATTTATAAACATTTTTTATAAAATGTTGCAAATAAATAATCATTCTTCATAAATTTAGGACAAAATGTATTCTGCTACATTTTGTTTAGTAGAAAAAAAAAACAAATCAGTGTTTATTATTTAGTCTGTAGGAAAGTTAACAAACTATGATATATATTTTGTGTGTGTGTGTATATATATATATATATATATATATATATGAAAATTGATCAGTCTTGATGTACTGACGGCCTATATCATTTCTTGAGGCTCAAAAATATCAGGACAGTACAAATATCCCCCAAATTACCGTATTTTTCGCTCCATAAGACGCACTTTTTTCCCCCAAAAAAAGTGGGGAAAATGTCAGTGTGTCTTATAGGGCGAATATGGAGCAGCTTTTCTGCTGCCGTGTCAAAATACTGGGCCGGCCACTCGGCTCTTCTCTGCAGCAGAACCTTACCTGTTCCTCGGTCCAGCGCTGTACAATCTTCTGGCGCCGGCATCTTTAGTGTGGGCACCCGGGTGCCCACTGCACATACACAAGAAGCGTTGCACTTTGTGAATGGTCCTTCCGGGACATATGACAGGTCCCAGAAGATGCCGGACCATTCACAAAGCGCAATGCTTCTCGTGCATGCGCAGTGGGCACCCGACTGTCACAGCCATGTGCCCACACTAAAGGGAGGACAATTCTGCGGAAGTGGGAGCGGGTACCTGTCAAATCAGGTACCCGCTCCCCCTCTCTCCTCAAAGGTCCGCAGTCTCTTGGTCATCCCCTGTACTGTCTGCAGTCCCTTGTCATCCCCTGTACTATGTCCGCAGTCTCTGGTCATCACCTGTACCATGTCTGCAGTCTCTGGTCATCACCTGTACCATGTCTGCAGTCTCTGGTCATCACCTGTACCATGTCTGCAGTCTCTGGTCATCACCTGTACCATGTCTGCAGTCTCTGGTCATTTCCTGTACTATGTCTGCAGTCTCTGATCATCTCCTGTACTATGTCTGCAGTCTCTGATCATCTCCTGTACTATGTCTGTAGTCTCTGGTCATCTCCTGTACTGTGTCCGCAGTCTCTGGTCATCTCCTGTACTCTGTCTGTAGTCTCTGGTCATCTCCTGTACTGTGTCCGCAGTCTCTGATCATCTCCTGTACTATGTCTGTAGTCTGTGGTCATCTCCTGTACTGTGTCTGCAGTCTCTGGTCATCTCCTGTACTATGTCCACAGTCTCTGATCATCTTCTGTACTATGTCTGTAGTCTCTGGTCATCTCCTGTACTGTGTCCGCAGTCTCTGATCATCTCCTGTACTATGTCTGTAGTCTCTGGTCATCTCCTGTACTGTGTCCGCAGTCTCTGGTCATCTCCTGTACTATGTCTGTAGTCTCTGGTCATCTCCTGTACTGTGTCCGCAGTCTCTGATCATCTCCTGTACTATGTCTGTAGTCTGTGGTCATCTCCTGTACTGTGTCTGCAGTCTCTGGTCATCTCCTGTACTATGTCCACAGTCTCTGATCATCTTCTGTACTATGTCTGTAGTCTGTGGTCATCTCCTGTACTATGTCTGCAGTCCATTGGTTCAGAATATTTTTTTCTTGTTTTCCTCCTCTGAAATCTAGGTGCGTCTTATGGTTAGGTGCGTCTTATGGAGTGAAAAATACGGTACCCCTTTTTGGAAAGTAGACATTCCAAGGTATTTAATAAGAGGCAGAGTTTTTTGAACTTGTAGTTTTTTTATCATAATTGTTTGGAAAATGAAGAAATTAAAAAAACATTTTTCACAATGTTTATTTTACATACTATCACCAGTGCAGCATAGCGTCATCATATAACTGGTGTGGAGGTGATCAGGGACACTGACTGGTGACAGTACAATAAAAAATTAACATTTAATATAGCAGTGAATTTCATTGCTATAAGCAAGCATTTTACTTAATTATATCGATTCATTCAGTAAATATTGTTGTGATTAGCTGTGATTGGCCAAAAAGTAAGAAAAAGTAAGTGAACCGACAGACCAGGGGTTTCAAATTGGCGGCCCGCCAGCTGTTGCCACACTACAAGTCCCATCATGCCTCTGCCTTTGGGAGTCATGCTTGTAACTGTCAATCTTGCAATGCCTCATGGAACTTGTAGTTTGGCAACAGCTGGAGGGCCACCAGTTTGACACCCATGCAATAGACTAATCACTTCAACGAAAACTAATTGGAGTATCAGTACTTTGCACATCTGGAGTGTAATTAATGAATGAGTTTGGAGGTGTGGTTTAAAGCTACTTTGATAAAAGAAACTGAAACATTTTAAGATTCCTGTCCATGAGAATCATCAGCCTATTGTGAACCATGCTTTGTAAAAAGGAGCTCTATGAAGACATACAATCAAGAGTAGTTGTTCTGCATAAGGCTTGAAAGGGATACAAAGCAAACTCAAAGTGTTTAGGCATCCATCAGTCAACAGTTAGACAAACATGTCTATAAATGGAGACAGTTTAGTACTGTAACTACACTTCCTAGAAGTGGGCACCCAGCCAAGATGACTCCCAAGGCATAATGCAGAATCCTGATTGAGGTAAAGAAGACATCACTGGAATTGGCAAACATCCCTGTCCATGAATCTTCTATACATAAGTCTTTGAACAGGATGGGTATCCATGGCAGCACACCACAGAGGAAGCCTCTGCTCTCTAAAAAAAAAAAAATTGCTGTTCACACTAAAGTTTGCCACAACTGGGAAAAAGTTTTGTGGTCTGATGAAACAAAAGTTGAATTATTTGATAAGAATACTCACCTCTATGTATGGTGAAAAAAGGTCACAGCTTTCCAACATCAAGACATCATCCCAATGGTGAACTATGGTGGAATGAACAACATCATTTTGGCTAGCTTTGCTGCCTCAGGGCCTGGACCACTTGAGAGGAGGTGCAGTATGGTGTGGTGGCAGGGAACACACACAGAGTCCGGTTGCAGTAAAATTTGAAACTTGTATTATGCAGAATGCCAACGTTACAAACACCCCAGAGGGAGAGCGCCGCTTAGGGAAATGATTCACAGTTCAAAGCAGTCAAAGCTGTGGCTGAAGATAGGTGCCAACAGTGTCTGTTTCAGAGGGTGAAATTTGGCCTTGCCAGTCCGGTCCCAAAAAGGGAAGCTTCCTGTGCCTCTTTGTCAGGAACCTTTCCTAACCACTATTCGCTTTCCCTTACAAGCGGGGCCTCTCTCTCTACATCTCTCTCTTTACACTAGCCACTTGCAAACTGTGTGCTAAAACTCAGGGGCAGGGACTTATATAGACCCTGATGACACAAGATGGCCACCAAGGGTCACATGGCTGCAGCATAGCCAACTGGAACGCTGCTCCATTGATCCAGGAAACCATCGAGAAACGGTGTCTTCCCTTGGCTAACTCTCTCCAGGCTGTGGTACCACTCGAGCTCTACCTACAGTGGAGAAAACACACTGCACCTGCCTACACACTTGCCATCATCGAGGGGAAAATAATTCCAAAGTTTACTTAAATATATCCTACAGGTCGTGTGGGTGGCTATCTTCCAGCTGAAGCTTAGTAGAAGTTCAGTGATGCAGTAGGACAATGACCTTAAACATCAAAGTAAATTCACCACAGACTGGCTTCAGGAAAAGAAAATATGCCTTTTGGAGTGACCCAGTCAGAGCCCAGACCTTAATCCCATAGAGATGCTGTGGAATGACCTCAAGAAAGCTGGTCACACCAGAAATCCTACAAATGTGTCTGAGGTGAAGCAGTTTTGTAAAGAAGGAAGGGTCAAAAATTCCTCCTGAATGTTTTGCAGGTCTGATCCAGACCTACCAAAAGCGCTTGATTGAAGTCATTGCTGCCACAGGAGCATTGACCAGCTCCAGCTATTAACTCCAAGGGTTCACTTACATTTAAATTAAGGTCAGAGCTGAGAGGCTCTGCAGATCAGCCCTCTGTCATTTCCCCTGCTCTAGAACTTTGTAGAAAGATCTAGAAGCAGTGGGCGGAGGTCAGGAGTGGTTGGTCTGTACTCTTAGAGGATCCTGGCCAATCCATAACAGGAGGCTTGGCAAGGGGCCAGGACAGCCTTTAAGAGTAACTGAGCCTGCTCAGCAGCAAGAGAGTTGGAGGAAACTTTGGGTGGAAGATGAGTAAGTGAGGCTGGAGAGGAAGAGCCGGGGAGAGGGCCCAGATTGGAGAGGGGCTCACCCACTGGCAGGAAGCTTGGAAAGAGGAAAGTTTTGGGACTTCACCAACCCCCTGAGAGAGGACCACCTGTGTGGCAGGTAAGCTAGAAGGCCTGGTAGCAGCCACCAACCTACCAGCAACACAGGAGAAGGACTAAGTGAGTAAACATGCACCCCTGGGCCAGATAGTGAAGAAGCACTATCTGGGAAATCAGATTAGCGACTACCCAGGACTGCCTTATCTCTTAAAGTGACAGGCACTGGATCCCCTGCTCAGGGATTTACCCAGTTTGGCTGGATTAGGAGAATCTAGGGTCTGGGGTGGTACAATCGGAGATGCTG